TTTTTTTTGGAATTCAACCGTGTTTTGTTTTCGTCCTTTAACAGGCGGAAGATCGTCTCAAGACATGCCACGAACACATCGAAACATTGGAGGTGAGTTACGTTCAAATTTCTTTTTAAGGTCTATTGGTTCAGAGTAGTGTTTGGTAAAGCAAGCCCCTGTATATTGCATTTTCATTCCGTTAACTTCTGTGATAAATCTCCACTTGAGATAACTATCAGATATGCCATCAAGAGTGTTTTTATTCTTCAAAAGTTATAGTTTTATTCTAGAAAATCATAAACGTTTTTGAGTCAAGCAATCTGATTCGGCTGTACTAAACTTCAACACAAAATAATTTAATTCGGAAAGAAAACCTTTCTCTATTACCGTCACTTTGAGTTCATCAATTTCGGCTTGGTTCGAGGTGCATTTTGAAGTATTCTCTGATTGTGTTTTTATTTTTTGTCGCGAAAGCCTAAGATGGCGCTCTTATTTTGCTACAAAATAATGTCCTCATTCTTGATGTGTGAGTAATGGGGGCCGAAGGGGCCTCTTCAGAGACTGAAACTGGATGAAGTTAATAAGTAAGCATCGAATGTATCTGTTTTGTCGTTTCACAGCTTGAAGTGAACCAGAAATCCGACGAAACAAGCAGAGAAAGACTCAGGGCTAATCAGGTATGCAATTGTTATAATTACATTGAACGATTTTAATATCAATAACCGGCACAACAAGCGTCATTTCCCCTTTCTCCCCTTTTTTTTTGCGTTTTTCAGACGAGTGGGGGTAAAAGAGAAAGGTGAGTGTCGCACTTTTCCTCTCGTGCGTGACTCACCCTTCCCACTAGTGACTCACCCTTCCCATTAGCCTCGTGTTCACCTCTATTTGCCTGAAATAAGCAAAGAGAAGACTACTGTTCCGTAAGCAAGACAAACTGAGGAGAGGCGTTTGCTGCTCTCGAAGGGTTTTTAACAGATATTTGCCCAGTATCTCTATCGAGCAGATGTTAAAACATATACTAAATGTATGAAAGTATTTTAGGGGTACGATGTTTAATAATTTTTTTTGATGCTATTTATACAGCTTGAGGTTGAAAACTGCGAATTGCGAGACAAGGTTTCCAACCAAACCGCCGTTAAACCTGCCGACAGCGCCTTGAGGTAACTGTTTTTTTCCAGTTCATGGATTGTTTTCAGAGAAGTTTCTCAATTTTGTCTAACAGCTGACCCTGTTCAGTTTTTGATTGGCTTAGTAGACATATGCCGTCCATTTGATCCATGTCAAACTGTCATTTCTCAGCCAATTAGGTTTAACAGGCCACTGTGAATGGACACCCTTCGGCTAGATTGTTTTGAAATCTGATTGGTTTATGAGGGCATGACGTATGCTGCTCAGTTCGATCACCCTCATTTTGATTGGATGATTAAAATCTGAAATTATTGTTTAGTTGGCCGGACTAAGATTTCTGAAAAAACTAGGACTGGCTGGAAAAAACTTCTTTATTTTTAACCTTGTGATTAAGGACGTCGAAAATGCGTGACACCGGCCTTGAGGCGCTGATGAACGGAATCGCGACAGTTGAGTTCACTGTAACAGGTCACAGAATAGATCTTTTTTAGGATCGTGCGTTTAATTAAGTTCTCAAATTAAAACCTCATAACCTGTAATTTAAAGAGTTTCTATTTAAACAATGTATTTCTCACAGGATAGAGTTAGAAAAACTACAGACGGAGAATGCCAAGCTACAAGAACAGCTGGAAATTTACGAAATCAACAAAGACCAAATGCACATGCGGGTATGGTTATTAATGGAGATCATTTATTAGACAGTCGAAACTCATTACAGTTAGCTCTTCGTTTTGAAAATTTTTGCATTGAACCGTGTTGGGATCAATACTAGTATCTGAGAAACTGCGCACCTACCCCTCCCTTAATCCAACATTAGTCAACTGATAATAAGTTAGGGGGTTAGGGGAGAGGTAGGTGCGTAGTTTTTCAGCTACTGTCATTGATTCCTTGTGTTGTGGGACCAAAACAGCGGCGATCGGGTCTTTTTATAACTGCAGCGAACAATACATACGACTGAGATAAGTTTTTTCGGACAGAAAGGATCAGAAGATGTGGTTTAACTCGGTGATAACTTCTTCCGTAGTTTCCGAGCGCTGACAGAATGTAGACGAGCAAAAGAGCCGTTTGTTTTCTGAATAGTTTTATTACTTGAATTCCAGTACTGTGAGGTAACTAATGGGATTCTCAAGAAATGGGTCCCTGCTCCTCTGACCTGCATCTTTGTACCTCCAGGGTTATTACGATCCAACTAAAACCAAGATTGTCCATCTGTCGATGAATCCATCCAGTGTCGCTAAACAACAGCGTGGGGAGGAGCTGGAAAATCTGCGGAAGGAGAACGAATATCTGAAGAGGAGACTAACGGTCGTGGAGGAGGGAGGCGGCAGCCCTAATGACACTAGTCTCCTCGGCAAGCTCGTTCCTGAGACTGCACCAAGTGTGTTCAAACAAGTGGAAGGTTAGCCTTTAAGTCCCTGGTATGCGGGTAGACTCTCCAGGGCACTGCGGCTCAAGCGCCGAAGCAGCGAGAAACGAGCCAAATAAGAAACCTGCGCATTTAAGTCTCCCGGTTCCGCCGCTCGTGCTACAGCGCCTGTGAGAGCCCCCATGCATTATCTCATTCATTACTCATAGGACGCTAGTTAATACCTAATCATTGCTCCTTATTTAACACGGTTATGAGGGCAGCTGCCGGTCCTATCAAAATCTTATTATCTTCCTTCTGAACAAGGTTGAGATTTTGTCATTTTCTCAACAGATTTTAAAGCACAGTTGTCCTCGGCAGAGATGAAAAATCAGCGCTTAAAAGAGGTAAAACAAAGAAGAGGTTTGTTGCAACAGTTTAAATGAATCGCATGTAAGCGTACTCGTGTACCATGCGTGCCACAGAAGTCAGAGGACTCTCACTCTCTAGAACAAACTTGCAAGAAAAAGTGTAACGCAATCTTTTCCAGCGTGTTAACATGTCGCAGAGGTCATGGGTTCAAATCCCGTACGGCACTGAAATTTTTTCAGGTCCTATTTACAACTACTCGTTTCAGTAGTGTTCTTAGCTGCGAGGATCTCCTAATTTCATCTTTCCACCGCAGTGCAAATATGTGAATTTTCATATATCTAAAATCTTCATTCTCTTGGATGTTTATTTGGACCCAATTCATTGACCAGCTCCCAGTTGGCTTGTTAGCTCAATTGGTAGAGCGCTGCACCGGTATCGCAGAGGTCATGGGTTCAAATCCCGTACGGGCCTGAAATTGTTTTCAAGTCCTATTTACAACTACTCGTTTCAGTAGTGTTCTTAGCTGCGAGGATCTCCTAATTTCATCATGTCACGTAACGTTTTACTGTCAGGTTTTCAAGAAGAAGATTCAAGAATTTCGTGAGGCTTGCTATGCCTTAACAGGCTACAAGATTGATGTCATTCGAGACAATCAGTATCGGCTTCAGTCCATGTATGCTGAGAGATCTACGGACGATCTGTTATTTGAAGTAAGTTCTACAGCAACAGAATATCAACAATATCCTCTTGTTCTACAGTTGATTAAGCTTACTGTACATCTAAACGTTGGTAACGAACTGAAGATGTTTTTGAGACATGAGCGGCAAAAGTGTTATATCATATCCAATTTTTTTGCTTGGTAAATCCGTGTTAATTTTTTAAGCTATTTTTATAGAAAAAGTGTTTTAACGAAAATTTGACTTTACCTGATAACTGCCTCGTGTTTGACCTTGTCGTGTTTTTTCTTTTTTTTTTCTTCCAGAGCAATGTTAAAGGTGAAATGATGTTGCTAGCCACGGATTTTTCCTCTCAGCTAACGGATCAAATATCGACTTATTTGAACAGATTTAACTCCATCCCGGCCTTCCTGAGTAACATCACACTAGAACTGTTTAACAGACAAACTCAAACTATAGTTATTAACTGATATTTCGTGCAGTCGTGCAGAAATTGATGTGCGTCACTCGCGCTGAGTAACGACATGCAAATCTTGAAAAATTTTGTTTAGTTTGCCGTCTACAGTCCATGTCAATTTTGTCCATCCTGTACCATGTTTTATGTTCTCGCTGGAGTTCTCTGTTTTCTTCCCCCTAAGGTACTGATAAAAGACGTCAATTAACCTTCGTAGAGGGCAGGGAGCCAATCAAGAAATCGTAGAGCCAGTTAATATTCCTAACTCTTTCTTCCCTTTTGAACGACGCCCTCTGTATCACTCCCGTTTCTCAACTGTGAAATTTAGTCGCAGATAGTGTAAGATAGTGAGATCCTTGTGACGGACCTGGAAGCTATCATAGCTAGAGTTACTCATCTCAGAGGGGCTTTCAATTAATTCGGTAACCCTCTATTGGACTTAATCCAAATAAATCATAGCCAGAATGAGCCAATCAGAAGTCGAGGTTAAAACGTGCACCAGTGATAAGCGCGGGAAGCGTGCGTCAATGCTTCTTTTTGGGCTAAAATTTAATTTGCGCTTACTAGTCAGGTTAAAGCTCCGGGAAATACAATTTCGAAACGTTGCAGTCTCCTGACTGCCAATCGGAGTAATCTTGCTTTATTATCGTATAAAGCAAATGTTACAACCTTAAATCATACCTTTTACTATGGCTTCTTTTTTTATTATTTGTAAATATTTTGTGTATGACATGTAAATAAAAGTTAACTGTCAATCTCATCAGAAGGCAAAGTCATCACTTACAGTTTTTAAGAGATGCTTAGAATGAAGAGCAACAAAGATTCATCCTTATGCTCAGTCGCCATACTGTTATCATACATTTCCTAGGGTGCTTACAAAGCGAATTTGTTTTACAATCAGGGAGATGATTTAGTCCATGGAAGAAGCCTACTTGGTTATCAATTACTTGGTTATCAATTACTGACTTCTTCTAAGCAGCGGACGACGACAATAGGATATTTGGGGCTCGACTACGCACGCGTTTTAGCCTGAATGGAAAAAGGGACTATTCGGGTGGTTGCAGAAGCAAAAATGGTTGCAGAGCCAGAGACATACAAATTAGAGTTTGTCTTGTGTACATGACATCTTTTTGCCGAGCGTTTGCTCCAAACGTACTTCCTCTTAACTTAGTTCGAATTGTGTTTTCGTAATGTACCCTGCCTAATCGCTCCCTCCCCCTGGTTTTTTTTCCCGCCACATGGAACCGAGGCTTGTCCAGCGGCCTTCATCCCGTTTAAACAGCAAAGATACTTTTCCTCGATTGCTTTGATTGCTCTGCGGAGGTCGTAAGCGGATAATTGGCAATAAAGTACCAGTTATGTATTTCTTTTTATCTCAGAGTATTCTTCCTGTCGTATTTGCCGTGCTAGTGGTATTGATTACTTGGTACCTATGGCGAAGAATGGTTAAGGGGCCAGGGTCGAATTCTGGGGAAGAAACACACACAGTGACGGCAAAACAGAAGGTGAGCATTTTAGTTGTGTTCACTGTCTAGGCTATCGTCCTCTTTATTTTCTTATTAATGAAGATTTTATGTTTACTTGCTCTTTCCCTCTGGCTTATTTATACGAATTCTGAATGAAAAACAAATCGTTTCGAAAAACTCCCCTTGGCTGCGAACAACCCTTAAACAAGAGAGCGATGTCTGTTGTTTCGCTTTTTAACGATCAAGTTTAATGAAGAGGACTTTCTGATTATTTCCATATTTTTTCATCGTGTTCTAAAAATTAACCAGTTTAAAACTATCTGTTTAAAATTTTTTCCTGGCGAAAGTCGAATTTCTACGTAGTATATGTCTCCTATTCGTCAAAAAAATTTGAGACATGAATGAATGCGAAATTAAAATGATGATCCAGCGCTTGTGATTTAAGCAGCTCGATTCAAGTTCAATTCCTGTAACTTTTTTATTTCCAGCCGTAAATTCTTCAAAAGGATTGTATTTCCTAACTCGTTAACCATAAAGCAGATGTTGTATATTTTTACTGTCATAAATAGAGTATTGTGTGAGGAAATGTCAATCATTTCATCATTGTTATTGTATCCGTCAAGAGTTTTTCATGTCATTAAAATATGTAGATCATTTTCCTAAGTGAAACATTGGACTAGCTATTATTGAAACCTTGCTGTCAAACAGACGAACTCTTGCATTGTTCATTAAAAAGCAGTAGGTATTTGCATCATTTGCTCTGCTTTGATTCCAAGAATACTGTTGAACCTTGATTATTCAGATTCATGGGGACTGGTTGAACCAGTCCTGATAATAGAGAGTCTAGATAACCAATACTATGAATATTGAAACATAAAATGAACCCAAATAACGTGAAATAAAATATTTATTATTTAATCTGTATCATGCAAGAATTAAAGCAAATTCTCAAATCTTTCCATGAATTGTCAACATTTGCTAAAAGTTTTAATGAAAAGGAATCAAGCTGACCAACACACTTAACAGTGACCTAACTTATGCTTTGGCTAATGAAAAAAAGAAGTAGCAGATTTCAAATGTGACTAATCAACATTTAATTTAAAAATGGGACCAGACAAACAAGTCCAGATAATCGAAAAATTTGGATAATCCAAGGTCTGCATAACTGAAGTTTGACCGTAATACAGTTCCATTGGAAAGCATGCCTTTTGTCCACCATTGCAAAATACAGAAATATAGTATGGCTTTTTACCACCACTACTTTCAAAGTTATGATTTTAGAATTTCAAACTGCATAATGAATATGCTGTTAAAAGCTCTTTGAATTTTTAATCGTAAGAGTTTTGTTTTTTATAAGTTTCTTAAGAGGGGGCAACTTATGAAAAAGGTGATTTAAATGTGTTTGTCCCTCAGGTTTTAATTATGTCCCTTAAATTAGCATTAAACTTTAAGACTCCCTTGGGAAACTAATTAAAACTGTTGTATAAGGAGGTTAGTTTCCAAAAAAACTGTGGTGCTGCAGTGGTAGGGGTTGTCACAAGATAATTTGGCTTTATCGACTGAGTTGCTAATCTGAAGCTAACACTTTGACTGTTAGCCCTTCCCCATTCACTCTGTTGAAGAGCTAACGTTCAGTACGTCAACTTTAGAAACTTGTTATGGTGGTTAATTTACATTATCAACTCAGTTAATAAAACCAAAATATCTGAGTAAAGCTTCGTTGTTTCCTGATGGAAATATAGGATGATGATAACAATGAGGTGACAGTTGAGGAGGCTACAAAGTTTCTGGAAGGAGCAGGAATTATAAAGGCAAAAGATATTCATTACCTCAGTGAGGATGAAAAAGAGAAGATTTGTAGAGAGTCTAGTGAACCCATCTCAGAGGAGCCAGAAAAGAGAAAGGAGAAAGAAATAACAATGGCAGATGCTTCCAACATTCAGACTTACTACAAGTCAAGTCGATTGGGTATCAAAGATATTGAAAACCAAATGACTGAAGAGGAATTGGATCAAGAAAAAGAGTGAGTGCCAAAATAGATTTTAAGTACTGTAAATGGATGTATGTCTATTGGATACAAGACTGTTGTTTAAGCTGTTTAGCATAGCTAAATTAGTGAAGTTCAGATCTAGCTATTGTTATTGTTGATAAGCTGTCTACTAAGTTGTGTGTTGCAGATTACAAATGACTACTACACTTTAGTCAGCTTTCTTGTCTTTCCAGTGTGTTCTAATTTGTTCCTTGTGATATTTTTATTCGCTCAGATCAGCTTAAGTGTTTGCTTCAGTTTTAGTCTTACAACACCCAATTAAAAAGCACTTTAATGAGTTAACATATTTCTCAGGGTCAAATGAGAACCTACATGTCCAATTTCAGTCCCAATCAAAACTAGAACAAAATTCTTGAATGGGAATTGTTATCATCAGCCTGATTTGAGCACTAATAGGACAGTGTGCCTGTCATGCTTGTATTTGGACAGTGTGATATGATAGTTGACAAGTCATGTCTATGTAAGTGGACAGTGCACGTGTCATGTGTATGCACTGTCTTTGCACATTTCGTTGAGTTATCTGTCATTCGTTTATGAAAACGCATCACTGACATCTAGTTTCTCTCTTGAATATTGCTATAGTTTTGATTTGTAGGTAACAGGACTTTGTGTCATCCAATTCTTTCTGTAATGATTCTTGTGATGAACAAAGCAGGCGACCGCAAAGAAGGAGTCCGATTTGTTAATCAGGATTTTTTTCATCACTGGTATGATTCCAAAACAAATTGGACTCCACTCAGTCCTATTACTATTATTAAGTCATTGTTGGTAGTTTAGGTTATGTAGTTGCTTGCTCCAATTCTGTTTCAATGGAGGAAGATTTTTTTTTATAAAGATAGTTATTCCTTCTCTTTGTAATCTTCAAAGGATGCAGAGGAAACAGCTGGAAGAGATTTTCAAGCTGCTAGAAAATGATAAGGACAAGTATGGTGTAACAACAATGGATGATCTACAAGCACAGATGAAGTTATACACGAGATAGTACTCTAATGATTAACTTGTTATTTTGTGTAAAGAGATCAGGATAACTCAAGCAGTTATTTTGAAGTCATCAGTATGTAAAAATAATTTATTTGCAGGGTTGACTTAATTACATAAACTAAAGAGTATGTTTTCTGTTTTTATTTATATATTTGTTATTGTTTTACTTTTATTATTAGAACTAAAGGCTGTTTAAAACAGGTCATTTTAAGGTTCTATACTATGAAGGTAGAACTTAAATGCAATTTAAACTTTCTGATATTTAAGGAATCCCTTTGTTTTAGATATTTATTTTCAATGCTTTAACAAATCATTGAACTCTCTTCTGAATTCTTGCATCTTATTAAGTTATTTCCTCCAGAGGCAATCTTTGACTTCTACTTAACAATTGGTTCATATGTCAGCAAGTGTTCATCGAGATATGAAGCACATGGGAAGTTTGGAGAGCATGAAAGATGCGTAAGAGTTGCTAGAGGCGTAACCGAGAGCAACTCTAGCTTCTTGAGTGCTCTCCAAACTTCCTGCGTGCTTCATATCTCGATGAACGCACAGCTGATATATGAACCAATTGTTTCATAACATTTTCAATTCAGGGATTTGTTTGCTGATGTCATGAGCGTGCACAATAGGAATATGAAGCACGCTTGCGCAATTTAATTTGATTACACAAATTTACTGGCTATGTTATAAAAGAAATTTTGGCATAAAATTTCAGGTATCAAACTTGTATCACACACTATTTTATATTTCATTATACTTTGTTTATTTAACATATTTTAAGGAGTAATTTTTCTTAAAACCGCCACTCATGTCATGACTGTTTTCATGAAATGAGTTATATTCCTGAAATTTTAGATACCTTCATCATCATTAGGTAGTTTGATCCCAGGTTCAACCCTTTATTAACATTCAAATGGTAGTTGAGTTTCAGTAATACCACTGTTTTGGAGCATTCATGAGATCACCTGTTAATAATTAACAATATGATGTTTTTTCCATGAGGTTGATATGATTATTTCTAAAACCTTACTGTTGGAAACACTTAATCTTTGTTCAATGTGGCACTTGAAGCCATACCCACCAACAGGCATTTGTTATGGTAGATACCCCATATATATGATACTCTACCCAACTAAATAAGGTACCACAGGTACCCCAAAAGACTAATGTCTTTTGTTTGAAGTAACTCTAACTGGTATTTGATTTAAAGGGGTGCTTTATTAGCCAAAGGTAAAAGTGAAGTGGAAGGCATTAGCTGCCAGATATATTGTTTTAACTTGACTTTACATTTCTATCTTGTCAAAGTTTTATAACACAAAAAGTATCTATTACATGTTAGTATTAATTGAAGTAATTTTCCGATGGTACACTTGCTTTGCGAGCTTTGTTCAGAAATATGTTATACAAAAGAGACATTCTTGTGATAAGATTTGTCAATTTCCATTGAAAAAATTGGAAATACATATAAAGAAGTAGAGCTGGGTCTTACTGATAATTTTATACAATTTTTAAAGAAAGAATGAGCTGTGACCTGAAGTTGTACATGATTCTTCATGTTGCAAATAGAGAAAAGTTAAACTGGTGTGTAGAAACATTTGTCAGTAAGTGTTTATCGCTTTGTGTAAGTGGAAATATCTCCATAAGTAGCTGATTGACTTGATTAAGCCCCATAACCTGGTTAGTAAAGAAATGGGCGCAGAATAGCTGGTCTGATTCGAAAAACTGTGTATAGTGGAAGCTCATGCATAGCAAATTATGTTTAAAAATCCTACAGGCTGAAATTTGTAAACTTAAGCTCACAAAAACAAAATGAAAGAGGTCCCAATCTACTAAATATTACAGGATACTGGTGAACAACATCTAGTTGTTATGTGAAAAAACAAAATCTATAGGCAGGAAAAAAAAGTACTGTCAGTCCTAAATTAAGGTTAAGGGCCAATAATTCACTGGTTTTCACATATCATAGAATTATTACCTTAATTGACTAACTATCAGTTTTTTTAACTTAAAGTTTAGAAACAAAGGTATCTCAGAAACTTATCAGCCTGAGTTGTTGATATCCATACATAACAAATAGAGTGAATTCCATCCTATCACTGATAGAACAGGATTTATTACACGAGTTTTTCAACCCTGTGAACAGAATCCCCTATTTTTAGTCCATGAAAAATTTTGGAGAGAGTGAGGGTTCCTACCATCTCTTTGGAAGATTGGAAGCAACTTTGTTGACAGCATAAGCTTTTTACTGTAGTGAGGTGTGTTTTTTCAGGTTTATATATATCAAGTATCAGCATTCAATATTGATTTAATGGAAACTGTTTTCTATTTTACTTAGGCAACAGTATGCTTTAAGATTAGGATTTAACAGTTTTATTCGCTTTATCAAGTTGTAACATGTTACGCCTAATGTAAGACTGTCGTTAACGATATTAGTTTTTGAAAATAATCGAATCTTTATTTGAAGCTAATTTGTGCTTCAGTCTTGGTTTGAGTTTTTCAGTTGATTAGAATAATGAAAGAGAGTTCCATTAGTTATTACTCAATGTTGATGAGGCCCAAAATATATCATGACGAATTCGTGTCTATACTTCTATCCTAAACTCAGAGAGTAAAACTTGTTGCTTTAGCGCTCCAGTTTGGCCTGGGTACAGATGTCTCCCAGTTCCTTTTCATAGGAAACGTTTGCATGCAGGCCACCATCCCAGTGTGGAAGTCTGCGGCTGGTTTCGCCCTCTTCACACGTACTCGAATCTCTAAAATTTCCAGTGATTGAGTATTTCATCGTAACTGAATAACGTAGCTTTTGAGGACCAGTGTTCAAGCGTAATAAGCTAGCTGAAACTGGACTCTCAAATGAATATATGAGAAGATCACTGCGGCATTAAAAAAAGTAATAATAAAAAGAAAACAAGAAAACGAAAGAACTGATTTGGCACGATTGTCGTGTTGTTTACTTTCGTACGATTACGTAGTACAACCTAGTACACACCCCTTCAAATTCACGTGAACAGTGTCATCCAACTTAAAATTTAATTTTCCAGTAGAGTATGCCATTTACGTTTCAAGATTGTACTGTACATTTTATTAAGAATTTTTGAAATTTTCGTTCACAAACCAATTACAAGCAACAAAATTAATATTTCCTTACAGTTACTCTTCGTAGTTACGAACGCTAAGTCCTAGTGACGTCAGTCTACGCATGCTCTATATTTGTTTTCTGCCGTACCTGACCGATGACATGTTAGAGATACGAAGCGGAAAGAGTTTGAAGAAGTTTCCGATTTTTTACGCAAGAATATGACAATTGTTTGGCGTTGTCAGCGATAGCAGGTTTTTTATTTCAGTCAAGAAATTGTGCTCTCTTCTTTCATCCGTGTGGAGCTGACGTAGAGATGTTCCACAATCGTTCAGCGAGTCTTGGAGAACTTCATGGAGGTCACGGCGTACGTGAAGCAAGCGAGGGGGAGGAGGCGAATTTGGAGAGGTCCAAGAGTTCTAGACATCTTACGAAGAAGAAGAGTTTTAGGTTTGGGTCCAGAGATTCTGTCGGAGGAAGGAAGTTAGTCAGAAAGCCATCGATGAAGTCTGTTTCGAACATGGTTCACAAACTGATGATCCGAATGTCTGCTGTACAATTTCCTTCGAACTCTGCATACTCGACCTCTTCGATCGGTAAGATAGACGAGAGTGCATCGTACAAGAAGAAGAATTTTGACGTCGATGAAGAAGCTGCGTCGAAAATTCGGAGAAGTAAATCAATGGAGGTCCTCAGTATGTCTGGACTGAAGAATCATGGTAACACTTGTTTTATGAACTCAATCATTCAGTGTCTCGCTCACACCGATTTATTAGCTGAATATTTTGTTATGGACCAGTATAAGGAAGATTTGAAGCTCCGCAAAGGACAAACTAAGAAATTCGGAACTCGCGGTGAAGTAACGGAGAAACTGGCACTTTTACTCAAGAGTTTGTGGTCGAGTCAGTATAATTCGCAGATCAGCAGCGATTTCAAGTCGATCGTTGGAAAATATGGCGTGCAGTATCGAGGATACGCACAACATGATGCCCAGGAGTTTTTGCTTTGGCTTTTAGATAAGGTTCACGAGGATTTGAATCGGGCAACGAAGCGAAAATATAAAGCCAACAAGGTGAGGATAAGTCAAAAATACTCTCTAAATTTGTATTGGTTAGTCCATTTTTACGATACGACACTTCGGTGTCGATCAAATTACTTGCATGTCTCGTGCAATTATGTACGTGGATTTTGATTTTGTCAAACAGGTTCACTATGGCAAGCAAAACATCGCATGTTTTTCTTTCAAATGGTTCTTTGTTTTCACAATTTGCGTAAAATTCATTGATTGGGGATCTATGCAAGATAAAATCTTCCATGTTTTGGCTTTTAACCAATATTTAAAAAAACTGTGCAATACTTTTCTGTGTCTAAATACTACTACAATGTTCACCAGGGCCACGTTACGATGTCTTATTTACACGTAAATCGACCATTGCGAGAAATATAGCTAACTAAAAGGTAAATCATGGTACTTTTTCCGTATTTCTTTGCATCATATTAAAGTCTGAAATGAAAAGGCACTTGATCGATTGAAATTTCATTTTCGTTCACTATAAATACTCTACACGATTGAGAAAGCTGAGTGGTCGTGATCGCTTAGCAATTTATTATTTGCCCAACATGTCAGAAAGCTTGAAGTGGAAAGTTTGCAGATATTTTTGCCAGCTATCTTGCTAGATTTTAAACAATTCGGCGAAATCAAAATATAGTTTGTGCAAATGTCTGCAATGGAAAGCTTATCCCTTTAATCTGATAAACCGACAGCGACGTAAAAATTTGAAATATGAAAACATTTAAAGTGGGTGTTAACTTTTGTGAAAATATCCTTAGTCACTTTTTGCGATTAATTCTCTTTTATTTCTCACGCCATGATGTAGATGGTGTAAAGCTTTGTTTAAATAGATTGTTCCACCAGGATTAGGTCCTTCGTGATCAGTTGATCACTGACACTGAGCAAGATCATTAGCATCTTGAAGCATGAAGTGACAAAAGGTTCATGTCGTCTTTGATGTCAAATTTTTTTTTCTTTTTTGCAAAAACTTCACAAAGGAATCTTACTACTTTTGCATGA